CTTCGAACACAGACAATGCAGTGGTGTATAGAGCAGTGATTCTCAGCCTTGGCCCAGGGAGATACCTACAGCAAATCGTTTTGTTCCAGCTGTGCTCAGAAACCCCAGTTATAACTGATGACTTTAATTGATCCGCTTGCTTGTTAAGAGTTTGGGTAAGTTTTTGTTCTGCACTCAGTCCTGAGTTTCAAAAAGTATCCTACTTCAAGGGTAATGTACCTCTCAGAAATGTAAGCAGCTTCATTTGCTCATTTGCTCACCGTTATTTCTGCTTGAATACTTTTTAATCGGTGGTCAATTTGAGATGAACAGAAACAGGTAGAAATGACAACGAATCAAACACATTTGAATGAAATTCACAACCTGTTACAGGTACCACAGCAATCGCAAATGCAATTTGACTTTTTAAGAGAAAGCTCGTTTAACGAAATCTCAAATAGAAAATTCAAATCCATTAGCCCCTGATTAGGAACTGGTATAAAAACCAGAAAGTAGAGTGGTCTAACAGGACCAGGGATGAGAAGCACTCATTTTGAGGGGGCTGGGAGAGTAGATAATATTTTGCACTTGGCTGCGATTTCAGAATTCTTCAAATTTCAGTTGTGTCATGAGAAATGTTTACTGCTAAGGTGTCCAGGTCCTGAGGGCCTGTGTGCCGGCAGGTTTTTGTTCCAACACATCATTGACTTAATCAAAACAACTTATCCGTTTTCCCAGCTTTTCAGCTGCTGCTGATTTCAAGAGACAAATGAAAAGCTGCAAATACACCTGCCCTGCAGGACCAGGATTGGACATCTCTGGCAAACGGAGGCCCACTTACAATGTGTCAGATTTCCAGTGGGGTTGTAGCACCTTTAGCAACAGCAACTCTGTTTCCAGTTCTTTGTTGACAAAAACGAAAAATTCTCCAGACTACTAGAAGGATGGAATGTGTAAAACATTATATTATATAGAAATATGAAAAAAGAAGAAAGACATTTTTTTCTTTCTAAACTAAAAACTGTAGGCTTTAGTGAACTTCATTAGTTGGAGTCAGGAATGGGAGGACTGTAACTCATATGTATAAGTCTATCTTTCATATCTTCAACCTTTTGCAGGCCTTGTATATTTTAAGTACTACCTGTTATTTGCACTAAAGCAATGCAATAAAACAATACAATGAGGTACACATTTAAAATTCAATTATTCAGTACAAAATAATATTAACACCTAGTGTTAACAACTAGTGTAAGCCAATGCAAAAGAAAGGGTTATTCCCTATCATCGTTCATTGCATAAAATAATTAAGGAAAATTATTATATGGAGAAATATTCAGAGAGGAACTTGCTTTGGGCCTTTTTGCTAATATTGTATTATTTTTGTCAAAACATTACTGCATTTCAGCTGGTGTTAGAATTAACTTTATAATGAATGCTCAGGAGGGATGACAACAGCCAGTTCAATCAACCTCAGCTGTCAGTAATTCGTAATCACTCCTGACGTCATCTCCTCACTTAAACATTATAAATACAACATGTACCCTTCTCTCCCTCATATCCATTTTGTGCATCCCAGTTGTATCCCATTTCCACACTTACAGCTGCCCCTTGGTTACTCCTCACTCTGCATGGGGGGTCCCAACCTCCCTGACCTTTGGCCTGAGCCAAACACTCTATAAGCCTTTCAGTATGCTTAATTCCTGGGTGTTGTTATTCCTAGTGAAGAACAGTATATCTTTTAGATATTTTTTCTAAATGATATTTGACAATTGGACTAAAGTTTTACATAGTTAAGCAAAGATCTCCTCTCGTTATCAGTCATCTTTTGAAGTTAATATGAACCTCTCCACTACATTTCTATGCATTAACTTTAAAATGCCACAGAAATAACATATCGGCATGAAGAAACCTTGACTGTAGGTCATGTCTTCATTAGGACACAAAGCACACGGTATCTACATGACAGCTAGCCCATCCATCCATTTTCTAACTTCTTTATCCAGCATCTCAGGGTCATACAACATTAGTGTGACCTCTAGCCAAATAATACACCATAATTAAGAGATAAGGATTGCTAAGCATATGACAATGATGTGTGGCATATCTAAACCAATTACTGTGCAGTAAAACAACTAAGCAGTAGTTCTCTAAATCACTTCAATTACTTGTAATTAAATGCCCAATATTTCCAAAATATTGCCCATAAATGATTTCATTGTTTTGGCATATAGACTATGCTCCAGTATTTTTTTTCTTTGGGAGAAGAAATATGATATTTAGTGTTCGGCCAGTGCAAAAATAAGTAAACCTAATGTGAGATTACTGAAAGTCTAAAATGAACAGTTGCATATAATGACACGACATATAGAACTAAAAAACATTATCCCTGCTAAATTGCAAATTACAAATGCAACTCTCCTGAAGGATGTAAGTAGACGGATTTATAAATACTTCAAATGGATTTTTAACATCGTAATGCAGTTTCTTACAAAACATAACGGGCAGAGAGAGACAAATAATTAGATTTTTAAATATAGCCATAAGACCACTCAAAATATGGCCCTTAAAAACACACAAGGCAGGACATATAAAACACGACCATGAATCAAGTACACATTAAAGATTTACATCTTTGGTCCTTACCCATATAAAAGTGTACTTGTCACTGTTGTTCTTAAGACACATCCATTAGTTGACATGGTTACCAGTGCCTGACCTTTAAAAACACTAATTTGTGGGTGCAAAGTCCTTATTTAATAATGAATGTTAATGAGAGGACAGACGATTTGTACTAAAATAAATGTTAAAAGACCACTCTTAAACTCACAGCTAAACATGGCTAGCACTTCTTTCGTACACTACACTTGTGTGTCATTACTTACTAGGTCTGACACCTATCCCAGTGAATCATTTATTTTCAGGAGAGTTGAATCATCCCTGGAAGAGTCACCTGAATGATAAATGGAACTGAGTAGTTTGTCTTTTTTAAGAGAACTTGCTATACTGATTAATATGTGACAATGTTATTAAATGCATCTAAATTTAAATTCTAGAATTAGCAACAAATCTCACTGCTCTATAGAACCGTCCACCTGCCTCATAACTGATAGTATTAGCAATTAGTAGTAAATGAGAAGATACTGTAAAACAAAACATTGTGCACATTGTGCATTGATGCAATCAAGTTTCAGAGATGTTCAGAAATACAAGCTGAGCTGTGCAAAAGTCATAAAATATGTCATAATATACTGTACATAGAATACAACATAAAGTAAAGATAAACTAATCTGCTGGTCACACTGTATTAACCATTTATTGCAATAAAATGTGCTGTTTATCTCATATCCATTCTCCTGACCCACTCATAAAACTACTGAAATTCCAGCAACACTGGAAGTCTTTGTTGTTTTGCCCCAAAGGGACAAAGAATTACTGAAAACCTACAGCCACACATTCGGTTCTGGAGGGCCAATGTGTTTGCAAGTTTTAAGTCTAGTTGGGCTCTGAATACCTTAGGGTAGCACTTTTTAAACATCAACATTTTATCTACCTCATTATACGTTTCATCTAACATTATTTTAAATGTTGATATTTTATAATTATATAATATCCATCCATCTTCTAACCGCTTAATCCAATACAGGGCCATAGGACAGTCGGAGTCTATCCCAGCAAGCAGCAAGCAACAAGTACAAGGAGAGATACACCCTGGATGGGACGCCAGTCCATCACAGCGCACGCACGCGTGCACACACACACACACACACACACACACCATGGCCAATTTTCCCAAAAGCCTAAGAACCTACAAAATGTTTTTGGAATATGGGAGGATACCAGAGCTCCTTGAGGAAACTCACACCAACACAATAATAACATACAGACTCCAGGAAGATAGTACCCCAGGTCCAGAATTGAACCCAGGGCCCCATGTGCAGCCCTATTTATGATATATTAGCTTACATGAAGTATTGCTTCTTTTTTTCTAAGCACAGATTATATAATTACTCAATGTAATATCATTACTCAATGATATTACAATGGCTTTCAACAAAAACTATGCTTGAACAGTTAAGTCTTAGGTTTTATCTAAGGGTTTGGCAGTGTGGATAATTCCATTCTTCTGAATGCTTTGCCGTATAGTTCTTGATACTGTAAGAGGTCCCTCTCAGGATTTCAGAATTATTTACAGAATTATTAACAATGTGTAAAATCTGAGGGATTTGTTTCAGAACTCCTGACAGGTACAAGAAGGTCCTTCTTGGTCCTACTCTTTATTTAATCTTTTAATCTTCTGCAATTTCCCTCACGTGATCAATAAAGTATCTATCTTAACAATATAGCTTGGGCAGCAAGAACCTCAAATACACAACAACACTGACGAAACCATCTTATGTTCAACCTGACCATGGTTTGGATAAAATTTTACAGGGTTTTTGTGAGCTGTGCTTTTTGCTAAGAACTAAGATAAGACTACATTCCTGCTATTCAATAAAAATAATGAAAACCTGCACTTACAAAAATGATTTGAAGTAAGGCAAAGGTCAATTCACAGTTTATAAACATCAAGACATTTGGTTAGACAGGGTTTTAAAATTTAAACTCATAAAACGTTCATACTCAGCATCTTGCAACTTAACAGCAGTGCTTTAAAAATTGCTGCTTTAGATAGTAACTAGTGACTATGGACGTAACTCATTTCAATTTTCTTTAGCTAACGACTGGAAAAATCTGCAGAGTGAGCTGAAACTACTCGCCTTTTTATTCGAAGGCATTTTCAGCTGTATCATTAAATCTTTTCTGCCTCACACTGCCAGTGATTAACATCTTGTTGATTTTATTGATTGTTGTCCTTCCTTCTTTCTCGGGTTTGTTTTCTGTAAAAACACGGCACCAGCCTCCTGATCAAGCCATCTTTGTACATGGGGATTGGTTCTCGGCTGCCTTATCTGATTAGTATTGATTTTCACAGTGACAGACAACGGAAAGGACCTTCAAGGACTCTGAATTCAGGGACTTACTCTGGATGTGGTGCACCTGTCTTCGTCAGCAGTGTCAGGACGAAAAACATGAAGATGACAAAAACTGCCAAGCCAACCCAGAAGCCAATCACAATGGAATCTGTGAAACAAAAGCATTGAGTCAGCTTTCATACATCTTTCCTTACGCCTCTAGCTTTCACGGTGCAATTCGTCTTTCCTTGCAAGACCTCTTTTACTGCATTGATTACGTTCACCAACTGTGTCAAAGAGTTCAGGTGCAAAACCCAATCGAGGTAACGAATTGATCGCTTTGATCTCTTATCATCACAGGCGACAAAGCATCCAGAATTTTGTATTGATGAAAGGTTGACAGACGAACACAATGTCTTGAGTGTCCAATTATACAGCATGAGGACAGGGCAACAAAAAATGCAGAGGACACAAAATGTCATCAAAAACATCTAGTATAGTAAGTATATTAAAAGGCAATAACATGTATTAGATACACTGTGATCAGCTGCCATGTAAGAAATTAGAAAGTTACAGTACTTTACATATAGTGATGCCACAGCTATTTGATGATGCATGGCTTCAGAGGACAAAATATCACATGGCAAACATTGCTAATGAAGGCTAGAACGGACTGCATCCCAGCTCCATGTTTATACTAAATCATTATTTTAATTAAATTGATACTATTGGCCTTTATTAAATGACATTTCAGTGTAAAGTATAGCGTACTGTATATATCAATGCAGTTCTATGTTATTCTCCACTGTAACTTTACCCATTAGATCCCTTTAGATACTGTAGATTAGATCCATCAGACCTAACTTTCCACAAAATCATGTTCACCCTACATTCTACTGTAGGTGAGGTTAAAAACATTAGCTGAATATCCATTTTCTTTTTGTGAACATTATGTGAATGGTCAGACATTTTCCATTTGGATGAATTAAGCATTTTTTACATTTTAAATTTTTGACATCTCAAACCATATGTAATACATTAAGTGCATTTTCAGTTTACAGTACTGTATGTGCAACCCAGAAAATAATCTTTTTTCATTATGACATCTTTCTAAGCAAAACATTACTTAGAACTGGACAAGAATGTCATAAGGTTATATGTTTAAATTACATTAAATAACAGAAATTACTAAGGTTACAATAAAAATGACAGTATCCTAGTGTGCCACACAGAAGGAGAACATGATTAGTATAACGTGTACTGAATGGTGATAATGTAAAGTACCACACAATATGTCACTTTTGTGACATATTGATTTTTCCTTCAGCTTGTAATCAAAGAGTCACAAAGGGAGAGAAGTATCCGTTCACTTTGCTGCACAATATATTGTAATTACCACCAATCACTGTCAGGTACAATACAGTACTTTTAAATGGAAGTTCTTAACTGAAGTACAGTTTGGGAGACATAACAACAGATAAGCCAGTCTCACCCAGCTGTTTAATATTGAAATCATGACCTACTTTCACTATATACTGTAACTCTTGCACACACCTCTTCTCACATTTTTTTGCATTCATCCCACCCCCACCCCATCACCACCTTTGTACAGTACCTACAATACTTCTCTCTGAATGGGAGTCGAGCCTCCTCATCCTATGGCCAGGAAGCTACCCCTTAACCAAGCAGGTTAAACCAAAACTTCTTATACATACTCAAACTTTTGCAAAACATTTCATTCTTGGATTATGTTATTTACCATACAATAAAAAGAGTGTTTTTCTTGCTTTTACTGAAGTTATGAAATGATCATTACAGACTTAGTTTTCCTATTTATGTACTTCATGTCATGTGCTACAGACCCATTGCCACACTAATGCAACCTGTCTTACTCTGCAGAATTTCAAATGTATTTGGAGATTGATGTTCCTGCTGTTCCAAGAGTAGAAACATGACGTTCCTTTGAATAAAAAAAAACACTCTTTTTTAATTCAGATTTTTCCATTACAAACTGAATTACAACAACTAAAACATAATAAGGCAAAACTCTTAACTAATTTAAAGATGAAATAAAAAACCTCACCAGCATTAAAGGTAATTTCCTAGTATATAAGACACGGCTTTTCTATGAGCATGTTTAATGTCTCCAGTAGGTTATTCACTAACAGATTAAATTGAAATGAGTGCTTCTACTGAAAGAAGTGAAGCACTATTACAATGCTATGAATCTTTTGGTTTATCTTGGTTAATTAAATTCTGGGTAAAAGATTAAGGGTCACAAAACAGTTGAGGACCGGAGGATAAAACAGAGAAGTAGGGAGAAAGAGAGAGGGACACAGAAGGAGAAAGATACAAGGAGAGATGAGAGACAGTGCCAGGTGGGAGGCCCTTATTCCAACCAGCCTTTAAGACCAGTCTAGTTAAGTATTTGAAGCTTGTTGTTGTTGTTTTTAGGAAACTCTGATTTCCTGTATAGAGAATCCCAGGGTTAAATCTGTCCTGGTTAGTGGATGCATTTTTACAATCAGGAGATAGGTTCCCATTCATTTTGAAGCATCTGAGATGATATACTGTACTGTATAGACAGATTTAATTCTAGGTTGTATTCTGTTTGGTGCATAAAGCAGGTTTATCTCTATTTTTGGGTCTGTTATACAGTAGAATATAGAATTTGAATGTTTGCTAGCAGTCTGGGGCTTTCTGGGTGGTCTTGGTCTGGTATGTTGTGTGTTATTATGTGATGACATATGTATTCATAACTCTCTGATCGCTGCCAGTGTGCAATAATAGTGATTCACATGATTTCACATCTCTGTTAAACTATGAATTCCATGCAAAGACTTAAGCATATACTGTATAAAGCAAAGCTCAAGGATAAAGTTGTAGAAAGATACAGGAAGATATGAAAAGACAGTGAATAACCCTTTGAGCATGGTAAAGCTAACATTAAGGAGTAATACTTAGTAATATTTAATAATATTATGTAATATCCAGATATTGCCTAAATCAGGATGTCCCTGCAAACAGAGCATCTGGGAACAGGGGGAAACAGGAGAATTAGGGATACCACCATTAGGATTGTGGAGACTTTGAAAAATGCTCAGATGATAACATCCATCAGACAAAGCTGTCCTATACAGTAGAATGGGAAGAAGAAAGCCATTACTAAAAACATCAGCTGAAATGAAGTATGCAATAAAGCACATAAGTGAAACGTGATAAAAGGTTTGTTGACAGCCGAGGCGAAACTGAAGCTTTTTAGTTTAAAAGGCAAAGCATTACATCTGGCACAAATCCAACACAGTACATAAACTGATAATGTGTTAACAGAAAACAGAGAGCATAGATAATGGATAATACTCAGATTGGGACGATGTAGTGGAGTACCACGGTGCTCCACTGTATAGTGTAGTGTAATTAGTGGAGCACCACAGAGATGCAGATGTGGTCCACTACCCTTCCTAATTTAAATCAATAATATACATTCTGGTAAAGTTTGTGAACTAGTCAAATTTGTAGAAAATACCAAAATAGGAGGATAAGCAAGACTGCCGAAGCAGCAAATTAAATTTAAAAAGACTAATAAGAATTCAAGACTGGGCAAACACATGGTAGATCATATTCAATGTATTGTAGACTAATGCAGGGTTTTTGCAAGAGGCTAAGGTGTCTATGTTAACACATTAACATCTCCTAGGCAATGTGAAGCAGCAGAAGAAAAACTAAAATAATAATAATAACAATTGCTTACACTTATATAGCGCTTTTCTGGACACTCCACTCAAAGCGCTTTACAGGTAATGGGGACTCCCCTCAACCACCACCAATGTGCAGCATCCACCTGGATGATGCGATGGCAGCCATAGTGCGCCAGAACGCTCACCACACATCAGCTATCAGTGGGGAGGAGAGCAGAGTAATGTAGCCAATTCATAGAGGGGGATTGTTAGGAGGCCATGATTGATAAAGGCCAATGGGAAATCTGGCCAGGACGCCGGGGTTACACCCCTACTCTTTTCGAGATTTTTAATGACCACAGAGAGTCAGGACCTCGGTTTTACGTCTCATCCGAAGGACGGTGCCTGTTTACAGTATAGTGTCCCCGTCACTACACTGGGGCATTAGGACCCACATGACTGCAGGGTGAGCGCCCCCTGCTGGCCCCACTAACACCTCTTCCAGCAGCAACCTTAGTTTTTCCCAGGAGGTCTCCCATCCAGGTACTGACCAGGCTCACACCTGCTTAGCTTCAGTGGGTTAAAATGTTAGTATATGTAGTAGCTAAGAGTATAGAATTGAAATTAAAGGATGCTAAAAATGTACAATGTAGTAGTAAGAGCTCATTTCAAATATGTGTTCATTGCTTTCTAAAACAATGTTGCTGCTTTGAATTGGTCCAGAGAAGAGTAACCAGATCCATTCCCTGGTTTAAGTGAATATTCTCGACTGAGAGGGTGAAGTACCTTTGCTTACTTTGCAGGTACTGGTTAAGACTGAACTTCCTTTTAAATCTTGCATTTCATTTGCACCGTCAAGACTGTCTCAGTCTTGACGGTGGCTTTACTTACAAAAGTTGTCCATACAGCCCTGTTCCCCTATATTTTTAATTCTCTCTACATTTTAGTCTTTTCTTAATTCTAATGTTTTAATTTGTAACTGTGTTTATATTTAAAAGTGCAATACATTATAATTGAACAAATAAAACCCTTAAAGCCCTTTACACTAGGTAATATTACTTCTGCAACTAATTTTTACTCTTATGGCACTTCTCATCCACAATTCAGTGCTCAGAGTACTGAGAGCTGTCATCAGTGAATGTGTGTTTGGGTCGTGGATTCAAACTGCAGGCACTGGAACACGTCCAAAAACTTAAGCTGCTTGACACAAATGAGCTTCAAGCTCACTACACTAAAAGATTGGTTGACTGCTGTGGGGATTTGCATTCTCTTGAGAGATGATACATGAGGCCTGTTATTCTCACCCCAGTTAAGCACTTTAGCCCCCTTCACAGTTCTCAGTTATCAAGTTTTTTGTCACAGTTACAGTAACACTAAAGCCATGTTCTTCAATTAGCGGCCTGTGGGTTAAATCAGCCCTCAGAGTAGCTCTCAGTTTGACTGTGCCACAATAGAAAAAAACAACAGTCGAAGATACACAAGTAATAATAAT